CTTCTTCCTTTTCAGTTTGGATGCTCTTTATTTCTTTTTCTTGTCTGATTGCTGTGGCTAGGACTTCCAATACTATAATGCAGTGTTTTTCAACCTTTTTTGGGCAAAGGCACACTTGTTTCATGAAAAAAATCACGAGGCACACCACCATTAGAAAATGTTAAAAAATTTAACTCTGTGCCTATATTGACTATATATAAAGTAATTCTCTTGAATAGGAATCAAATAAACACAAAGAAAGTATTTTATAATTACTTTATTATGAAATATTAAGTAAACAAAATAGTGAAAAATTATAAAATTCTTGTCTTGTCTGCACCTACGGCACACCAGGCAACATCTCGCGGCACACTTGAAAAACGCTGCTATAATGTATAAAAATACCTAGTTTTCTTATATATTTCATACCTCATACTTATCTTGTTCTTGATCTTATAGGAAAAGCTTTCAGCCTTTTACTGTTGCTTATGATGTTAAATGTGGTTTTTGTCATATATGGCCTTTAATATGTAGAAGTACAAACCTTCCATAGCCACTTCGTTGATAATTTGTCATCTATTGTGTTGATCATATGATTTTTATTATTTATTTTGTTAACACGGTACATGTCACATTGATTGGTTTTTGGTTGTCAAACTATCATTGCGTCTTGGAATAAATCTTACTTAGTCATGGTATATAATCTTTTTTACATATTGTTGAATTTGGTTTGCTAATATTTTGTTGAGGTTTTTACATCTGTGTTCACCTGGAATATTTGCTTAAAAATTTCTTTTCTTGTTGTAGCCTTGTTTAATTTTAGTGTCAAGGTAATGCTGACCTTATGAAATGTGTTTGAAATTGCTTTCTCCTCTTCTAGCTTTGGTAAAGTTTGATAGGAATTGGTATTAATTCTTCTTTAAATGTTTTGTAGAACTCACCACTAAAACCATGTGCTCCTGGACTCTCTGTTGGGTTATTGTAACTTTTTAATTTTAGGATTTTCATTCGATTCCTTTTATATAATTTCCCTCTATTAATAGGCTCTATTTGATGAATCATCATCATCATAGCTTTTTAACTTGATTTCCTTTAATTCCTTGAATATTTATAAGTGTTTTGAATCTTTATCTGTTAATTACACTATATGAACGCTTTCAAAATGGATTTTATTGATTGTTTAGCTTTTTTGTGGGTCCCCCTCCCTGTGTATAGGTCACATTTTGGTTTCCTCATATCTTTTTTTGTTATAAAAGTTGGCATTTAAAATATATATTGTTGGTCTTTGATGTGGACTGGGAGCCCAGAACGGTTATATCTCCAATCAAAGCTCTTTTAAAAATGTCTTTTTTTCTTAAAGATTTAAGTATATTTTCCAACAAACAAACAAATACCCTATGTAATAAAGATATAATATGCAAATGGTCGTTAACACTATGAAGCTAATGACCGACCTGTAATGACTGGATCACAGATCAGCAGGAGGGTGGCACAGATTCCTTTCCTGCATCTTTTGTGAAACTCTTAGTTTTCCCTCTGGTTTTCCACCAGTGAGATACAATGATTAATTTGTGTATGTTAAACCAATATCAGTATCCTGGGATTAATACCACTTAATCATTAGGTAGTATTTTTTATATATTGTTAGATTTGATTTACTGATATTTTCATAAGGAATTCTGCATCTGTGTTACTGAGGGACATTGCTATCTTCTTGTTTTCTTTTAATGTCCTTACCAGGTTTGGGAGTAAGAATTAGAGTGGTCTTGTGAACTGAATGGGCAAAGCATTCACTTTTTGCTCTAGTTTTTGAAAGAGTTGGTATATGATTATTATTTTTTTCTATATGTTTACAGAACTCATCAGTGAAGCCACCTAAACCATAGCTCACTCTCACCCTCTGTGGAAAGCTCTTTAATTACAGATTCAATTTCTTTGTGAGCTATTTTTTTAAAAATATATTTTTGTTGATTTCAGAGAGGAAGGGAGAGGGATAGAAAGATAGAAACATCAATGATGAGAGAGAATCATTGATCACCTGCCTCCTGCACGTCCCACACTGGGAAACTGAGCCTACCACCGGGCATGTGCCCTGACTGGGAATGAACTGGGAATTGAACTAGAAATTTTCCATACTTTACTGCCTCTGTATTTATCTTTTGGTTCATCAGGCTATAATGTTCTTTATTTTCCATAAAAGAGTGAGATTATGTGGTATTTTTCTTTCATTGCCTGGCTTATTTCACTTAACATAATGCTCTCCAGGTCCACCCATGCTGCTGCAAATAGTAAGAATTCCTTCTTTTTTACCGCAGCATGATATTCCATTGTGTAGATGTACCATAGTTTTCTAATCCACTCATCTGCTGATGGGCATTTGGGCTGTTTCCAAATCTTAGCTATAGTGAATTGTGCTACTATGAACATAGAGGTGCATATATCCTTTCTGATTGGTGTTTCTAGTTTCTTGGAATATATTCCTAGAAGTGGGATTACTGGGTCAAATGGGAGTTCCATTTTTAGTTTTTTGAGGAAACTCCACACTGTTCTCCACATTGGCTGCACCAGTCTGCATTCCCATCAGCAGTGCATGAGGGTTCCTTTTTCTCTGCATCCTCGCCAGCACTTGTCATTTGTTGATTTGTTGATGATTGCCATTCTGACAAGTGTGAGATGACACCGCATTGTCATTCTGATTTGCATCTCTCAGATAATTAGTGACTTTGAGCATGTTTTCATATGTTTCTTGACCTTCTTTTTGACTTTTTTAGAAAAGATTCTACTTAGGTCCATTGCCCATTTTTTTAATTGGATCATTTATTTTCCTTTTATTTATATTTATTTTTTAAAATAAATTTTTATTGTTCATATTGTTACAAATGTTCCTCTTTTTTTTCCCCTCCACCAGGTTCCCACCCCACCCTCTGCCCTTTCCCCACCCCCCATTGTCCTCATCCATAGGTGCATAGTTTATGTTCAGTCTCTTTTCACATCCCCCTCTGCCCTTTCCCCGAAGAATCGTCAGTTCACTCTCCTTCCATACCTCTGATTCTATATTATTCAACAGTTAATATTGTTCATCAGATTTTTTTTTTTTATTTCCTTGGTTTTTAGATTCGCTTGTTGATAGTTACGTATTTGTTGTTCATAATTTTTATCTTTATTTACTTTCTTTTCCAAAAGAACCCCCTTCAGCAATTCATATAATTCTGGTTTGGTGGTGATGAACTCCTTTAGCTTTTTTTTTATTAGTGAAACTCTATCTGACCTTTGATTCTGAGTGATAACTTTGCTGGGTAGATTATTTTTGGCTGTAGGTTCTTACTGTTCATCACCTTGAATATTTCTTGCCATTCCCATCTGGCCTGCATGGTTTCTGTTGAGAAATCAGCTGACAATCGTATAAGTGCTCCTTTATAGGTAACTACTTGTTTTGCTCTTGCTGCTTTTAATATTCTCTCTTTGTCTTTTGCTCTTGGAATTTTAATTATGATTTGTCTTGGTGTGGTCCTCTTTGGATTCCTTTTGTTTGGAGTTCTGTGTGCTTCCTGGACTTGCAAGTCAAATTCTTTCACCAGGTGGGGGAACTTTTCTGTCATGATTTCTTTCAGTATGTTTTCGATATCTTGCTCTCTCTCATCTTCTGGGACCCCCATAATTCTGATATTGGTTCGCTTGAAGTTGTCCCAGAGGTTTCTTACATTATCTTCAATTTTCTGGATTCTCTTGTCTTCTTGCTTCTGCGGAGGAGTGTTTTCTGGCTCTTTATGTTCCAAATCTTTGACTTGATTCTTGCAATCTTCCATTCTGTTTTTAGGACTCTGTATAATATTTTTTATTTCAGACAATGTATTCTTTATTTCTTGTTGATCCCTTATCATTTCTTGTTGATTCCTTATTAATTCTAGTTGATCCCTTTTCATATTCTCATAAGTCTTATCGACTTTTTCTAGGAAATTCTTGAAAAACGTTATAAGCGTAGATTTGAACTCCATATCCAGTCACTTTTTGTCCTCCATTTCTTTCGTTTGTGATCTATTTCCTTGTCTCCGCATTTTCTCAGCTTCCCTGATGGGGCTGGGTTTCAGCCCCGCCCTATGAGGCTCCTGAATCTCAGTAATCCCCAGGGTCCTTCAGTACTTGTTGCAAGCACCTCTCAGAGTGAGGTGCTCTCGATTTTCGCCTGCTACCAAACAGTCTAGGCTCTCCCCCAGTTAGCCCGGAACTGGGGTTCAGTTCAGTTGGAAGTAGAGTTGGAGGTGGCATTCAGAGCAGCTTTTGTCTCTTTCCCACCAGGGCAATCCTGCAGCACAGCCAACTGTCCCTTCTCTGCGCGCAATGTGTGCGCCTCCGGGACCTCCTTTTGCCGCTCCCCCAGGGTTCCGCCTTACAGCCCAGCTCCCTCTGTTTGAGCCAGGGTCCAGCCCAGAACTGGGGTTCAGAGCAGTCGGAACTGGGGCCCAGCACAGTCCAGAGCCTTTGTCTCCTTCCCGCCAGGGCAATCTATCAGCAGAGTCAACAGTCTGTCCTCTGCGCGCAATGTGCGAGCCGCTGGGGGCTCTGCCTTTCGCCGCTCCCCTGGGATTCCGCCTCACAGCCCTGGCTCCCTCTGTTTGAACCTGGGTCCCCAGGGTCTGGCCTAGAACTGGGGTTCAGTGCTCTCGGGTCTGGGGTTCAGCACAGTTGGAGCTTTTATCTCCTTCCCGCTAGGGAACGCCAGCCAGGCACTCAGCCGCCCCTCCTCTCTGGCTTTTAGCCTAGGTCAGTGGTCAGCAAACTCATTAGTCAACAGAGCGGCAAACTGCTGCTCATGAGCCGCATATGGCTCGAGAGCCGCAGTTTGCCGACTACTGGCCTAGGTTTCTTAAGATGTGGGGATAACCATTTCTGCTCTGTTTCATTGAGTATTTGTGGAAAATAAAACTATAAAATGATACAAGTGCTTTATAAAGGCTAAAGCAGTTTTAATAAGTATTAAAAATTGCTTGGCCTAGTTTTTTGTATTTTGTTTCGTTTTCTAGGTTGCTGAAAGAACTGGAATCTCCTTCTTGGTGGCCCTTTAACTTCAAGCTTTGGAAGATGCCATCAGACACAAACTCCAGGGCAGGCTCCTCCATGGCTAGTAACAAAGCTCTTGGAAAAGAAGGAATAGTGATCAGAATTCCTGCTATTATTTCCCAGGGAACAGAATCGCAAGTTAAACCAGGAAGGCTCACCATCCTTGTTTCTGGGTTGGAAATCCATGGCCCAAATTCTTTGCTGTTGCACAGATTTGAAAGAGAGGATGTAGATGACATTAAGGTTCACACCCATTATGAAGTCAGCATCCGCCAGCGGTTCATTGGGAAGCCAGACATAGCTTTTCGTTTGATATCTGCCAAGATGCCACAAGTTATCCCCATTTTGGAAATGCAGTTCAGCAAGAAGATCGAGTTTTTGGAAGATGCCTTGATGCTCAGAAGCACGGGAACCTCCTCCCCAGCAGAGAAGGGCTACTCAGTCTGGCAGGCAGGTAAGTGACCATCAGCCCAGCCTGTGCACAGGCCGGGGAAATCTCAGTCTGCCTGTGGTGTGTACTTAACATGGTGCATTGTCAATAAAAATAATTTTAGACCATTTTCCTTAGTACTTGCCACCTGTGAATCTCAAATCACTTCGGTTTATCATACACTCGAAAGCTTAGAGGTTTCCAAGTAGATCAGAAAGGGTTTTGATGACCCTTTCAGACCCTTTCAGAAGGTCTGAGTTAAGTGTTTTCACTCTTCCCTCTATTTGATTTGAGAATTAGCATTTCAGGGCCTTAACTAGCAGCAGCCCCCATCTGGTTTGCCGAGTCTCCATTCCTCCCACCAGTAACTTACTGAGCCTCACTCCTGCTTTCCTTCACATTTGATCGAGGTCTTCCCAGACCACCTTCCAGGTGTGTTCAGGTATCAGAATCTTTGAAAACTATGCAGCATAGTTTGGGTAGTTTATGGGGCATGCATGAGGTATTCTGAAAAACTTATTTTCGCTGAGGTGTTGTTCTCTTGCAGGTTTCTGGGGTGTGAAGGGTGTAACTGGCATGGCCAATGGGGAGGAGTGGGGGGGGCAGGACATGCAGATATATTATATGTCCACACATCTCCAAGTTCTTGGATCCCAGTGTCCTCCCTAGCATGGGATAAGTTGATGGTTGACCTCTCAGTTTTGCCATTCTACAGTATTCTGTGGCATCTTGATGGTATTTTAATTTATTTCATTGATTGTGAGATAGAGCATCTAATGCTTATTTGCTCTTTAATCCCACAGGTTTGTTCTGTGGATTGCCTGTTCTGTGTGTTTTGTTGTTGTTGCTGTTGCTGTTTTGTCTGATTTGCAAGCGTTCTTTATATATTCTAGATTTTCATTCCTTATTGATTTGAGAGGCTGCCAGTGCTTTCCCAGGCTGCCAGCCTCCATTACAGAAATCTTTAATTTTGCTGTGGTCAAATCCACCATTTCCCCCCACTTAAGTTTGCTTTGAGCCCCATATAAGAAATCCTAAAGTCATTAAATATTCTGATATTTTCTAATACTAGAATTATAGATAATATTACTTCTGTATTTAATGTCATTTTTTTTAAGTATCTTTGATTCCTGCATGTCTGTTAAAGTAAGAGTGATATTTGTTACTATTCTGGTTCCTTTTCTTCTTTCTCTTAAGTGATTGATTTTAATTCTAATATGTAACCTATTTTCCTAACACATGAATATGTTTATGTTACTCTAGATGACTTCGAGTTTCAAAAATATATATACTTGATATTAGATTTGGTCTCATAAGAGCCAAAATGTTAGAAATGGTAATGTAAAAACTTAATTTAAAAACTTACTTTCTTGGCATTTCCGGTTTTTCTTTGGCCCCTCACTCAAGCAGGACTCAGAAGCTGGCCCATAAAAAAGCCAAGAATGGTGGGCTGTTGTAGCCAATGCGAGACCCTGACCAGAGGCCCGTCAGGCAAGGCCATGTACAAGCCCAGCTGGGCAGTTGCTCTGATGCCCCAAGTTTTGACTGAGTCACCCACTGCATTTTCCCCTGGGCGAGACCTCAGCAGTGAAGGAGGAGGCTCTGTAGGGACAAGACACAGAGAACCATCAGCCACCAGTTCCACCAGCACTGAGAACCCTGCAGTGCCAGTCATGGTATTCGGCACCTATAGTCTTGGAAAAAAGGCTAAATGAAACCCACAACCCTCCTTGTCACAGGGAGCTCCACCATGCTTTGTGGGTTGTTGTGCATGGGGCTTCTGATGGAAAATAGGGCACAGAATGTAATGAGTGATATAGCAGTGCGAGCGCGCTATGTGTAGCACAGAGGTTACACTGCACAAAATTCTGGGCCTGCTGTCAGGGACCCCACGAAAGGTAGGATGGGAAGCTCAGACGCTAGAGCCCAGGTGGCAGACAGGGCTGGAGAGGAGCAGGAAGCAAGTCCAGGGCTTCTGCTGTCACAGGCAGACTGTAGGAAGATAGGTGAGTGCAAGTTCCACAGGCCTGTCGTCAGGAAGGGCAGGCTGGACCTCTTGGGCTGAGTCTGCTGACCACAGGCCGAGCATCATCTTCCTCCTCCAGGAGCCATGGGTTTGCTTTTAAAGCCTTTCTACGGATTGTATCAGGCCCACCACATCACCTAGGACAGTCTCCCTTACCTAAAGTCAGTGATTACAGGCCTTCTCCCTCCACGCTACAAACACCTTCCCATAAACACCTAGATCAGGGTTGGATTGAATAGCTGTGGCCTGGCTTCTCACGGTAATGGATCCAATGTGTGTGGAATGAGCTGACAGATGGGTTTTCATCTCGGTGCTAACTTTAGCCTCCGGGTGGGCGGGATCCCTGCAGAGTGTCTTCTTCCGCTCTGAACAAGAAGTTCCATTCTCCCTTTGCAAGACCACCCTACCTCCCAGAGTAGATGCACCTTACAGCTGTGGGTTTGGAGAGGCTCAGGTAATGAGAAGTGATGCGTTTGGAAGGAGCCAGCATGTTGAGTTTAGTAAGCGAGATGGCATCTGACTTGCTAGAAACTTCTGTGTCCTCTGCAAGCCTAATGATGAGGGCGAATTTCTCACTGTCGCCTGTGTTGTGTCTGCCATCACCTCTGTCTTTGCTGTTCCACACTGGAAACTGCAGAGACAGTGGAGGTGGAAACAGTGACTGACATCTCAGAAATGGATTCCTCTCCTTGACGAGGTATTTGGGTAAAATATGTGGCCAGTAGGTGGCAGTCTAGTAACAGGAGACAGGTATTTGCCTTGGGTGAGTAGAACTTTCCAGAGACCTCTGAGGTAATGTGTTGTGTGGAGCGGTGAGGGCCCTTGAATGACACAGGTGGGCAGTTTCCACCTTAGGGAAGAGCAGTTGCAAAGTGCTATTTTTCTGCATAGTATCTTTAAATAACCTTTCTAATTTTAGAATAGTCTCAGACTTGCAGAAAAATTACAAGGGTAGTTCAGAGTTCCCATGTCTTCCACACTCCTGTCACCCGACATTGGTGTCCTTTATTGTCATATCTAATGAACCTATATAGATACGTTGCTATTCTCGTAAGTCCATATTTTATCCAGATTGTTTTACATTTTACTCTTTCAGGATTCCACGTGACGTTTAGGCAGCGCATCTCCTTGTACCCTTCTTGACTGTGTCAGTTACTCAGACTCTCCTTGCTTTGGTGGTCTTGATCGTTCTTAGCAGTTGTAGCATGCTTCCAGGATGTCTCCTGGTCCTGGAGTGACAGGTGTGGGAGGAAGCCCACAGATTATTCTCCAGCAGAGCAGGCCATGCCTGGCACCGTTAAGAGTTCTGGAACTGATTTTTGTCCTTGTTGTTTACTGGCTGTCACCTTCTGAGAGAGCCCTTCCCTGACCACCTAATTAAAGACACCTGGCCACCCGCTCACTCACCCCATGGAAATCTTGCCTCACACTTGCCCTCTGGTGCCGCCCCTACTGCCCAGTCAGGTCCTCCTCGATGTCTCCTCCTTCCTGGGAAGTGAAGTCATCTGTAAGTTTCCTTTTAGCTGGAACAATGTGTGCTTAGTTTGGTTAAAAGAGATAATTAATGACTTTAGAGTCAAAAACCATCTTATACTGAACCAAATTAATTTTTCTCAGAAGATATTTCAAAGCATTGAGGTAACTGAGTCAATAGCTCCAGAGTCAACACAGCACTGGGGGTGGCCAAAGCCTTGTGCTGGGCGGGACCCCACTGAGCCCATGCTTGTCCTGAAAAACATCTCTGACTTAGTATGTTCTAGGAAGAAATATCCTCCATTTTGGCTTTCCGGTTGTTTAAATAATAGTCTTTGGCTAAACGTTCAAAAAGAGTATGCCTCTGTCAGTAATATAGCTATAGGTGGTAAAATGGACACCAGAGCACAGTCCTGATCACAGAAGCTAGTCAGAGATCCTGGAGTGATGCTGAAAAAATAAACAGCAGGGCAGTTCCAAGCAAGTTCATTAAAAGGTGTGCAAATGGAATAACACTGGGATTGCTGCAGATGGAAGGGCCAAGTGCAGGACCTGTGGGGTGGAGAGGCTGTGGGGCCAGCATGCTGGGGATGGGATAGGGGACAGACTGAGCACAGGTGCATGCTGAGGCCAGAGAACTGCTGTTCTTACAGGCCTATGAGATGTACTTTGCCATTGTGACATCACAGGTAAGGCTTTAATGTCACGTGTAAGGGGGCCTCTCCTTTAGGCTCATAATAACCAGAGGATACGCCCTCTGTTCTGCCATGATAGCTTCCAACCCAGCTCTGACAGTGCTCTGCTGCTGACTGACACTTCAGAAAAGGACTTTTCATATGTGACATTCCAGTGAGGGACACTAGACCACATAGGAACAATGGGGACCATTCTGATGAACAAGCCCCCCAGGATGTTGGAGTGGGTGGGGCTTTAGCAAGTGTAGAACACAAATTATGACATTGTTTAGAAGGGCTCCAACTAGCATTTTCCTAAAGAATGGCCTAAAACAGCAGATCCTCGAGTGCGTGGTTTGCAGTAATGTTTTGTCTTGTGCAACTTTTCCAGACCTAGCGATGCGGACCAGGTGTGGTAGCTCTGTACGGGATGCGCTTCTCGCTCGCACAGTTAGAGATGGGCTGGGGGAGGGCTGCAGTCGTGCCTCCAGCAGACTTCCTCCTCTGTTGCCTGAGCCCTTTTCTTTCTGTCTGAGTTACTGAGTGTCCTCCTTTGGCCTGGGCCCTTTTCTTCCCGGGACCCTGAGAAACCTGCTTTCTGTCTCTCTTCAACCTGCTTTTATCCCGAGGGCAGGCCCTCTTCTTGTAAGAATTAAAAAAAAAAATAAAAAAAAATAGCGGGGGCATTTTTGTGTGCAAGCTAGGGGTGGCTGACCTCTCCCACCAAGGAGAGGCCTGCGCAGTCGGTGTGTCCTGAAGGCCACCAGCTAGGCCTCAGCCCTTCAGGCCCAGTGAGAGCCTTACTGAGCCAGACTTGCTTCTCCATTCCTTAGCAGCTGCTCCAAGCCACTCTGATGAACGCGGCTCTGCTCACCCCTAGTAGGGCGCTGGGAAGGAGGTGGGGGTCACCTATTACCCTGCTTTGCCCCATTCCACTAAAGCAGAGAAGGCTGCTTGGGGCATCTGGTGCTGTTTCTCAGATCTGTGCACTTTCTGCCACCTGCACTCCTCTCCAGCATCCTAATCAGTAACTACTGTGTACCTGAGGTGGTCTGTGCAGAAGAGTAGGCAGCAGACTCTTAAGTGATGCCCTTATCTGGGTTCCCAGGGCCAGGGTACAAGTGGAGGCAGTTCTTTAAATAAAGGACAGGTGGCACACCGCGGGGGGGGCGGGGAGGGGGTGGAGGGGGCGGCTGTGAGCCACCCGATTAGCAGCCTCTATTCAGGCTGCCCTTCCGCTCCTCGGAGCCATTAGCCAGGCAGGTGCTGTTTGAGCAGAAACCCATTCTGAGCAGTGCCTGGCCTTGCGCCCTCAGACTTCTCTCCCTTGTGGCTCCACACTGACCTTTGTTTGGCTGGTCAGCTGGCCATCCCAGTGCTCTCCAGACCCAGAGCATCCTGAGGGATTCTGAGGATTCAACAACTACTAGCTTAAAGTTTAAATCTATAGTCTTCTCTCATAAAGAAAACGATTACTCCTGGGTAGTGACCTTTCTTAGAGCCAGTTATAGAACCACACCCCAGGCATTTACAGTGTTTCACTGAGATCGGGGTGGGTTAAGGAAACCACCCTGGCCTGGAGTGGAAGGCAAGACTTGGGCAGGCCCCACAGCCGCTCAGCTTAGCAGAGGCTCAGGGAGGGGACCAGCAGGCACAGAGCCTGCAGATGGAGAGATGCCATTGGCCCAGAGAGCAGGAACCATCTTTGTAAAGTCGTGAGTACTTCTGCATTGTGTGCATTGTGTGCATTATGGAAGATGTCACTGCTGTTTGGCTTGCATTTCAGCGTCCAGGCCCATGGACTGCGACAGGCACCGAGAGGCCTCCTCAGGGAGCCAGGAGGGCAGGCTGCTTCAGCTACAGATGAGCGAGCCACTCATTTCTGAGGAGGACACCCAGGAACTCAGACAGGTAACATGCATTTAAGGGCTCCATCCTCCCTTGCAGGTGACTCTCTTCTCTTTTCTGCCTGAGAGGGATTCTCCCTGGCTTGTACTTGCCTCTCACCCATAGGAGTTACTGAGACACCCAATTGAGACATCCATTTGAGAAAGAAAGTGCCCACCCGAGTCCTTGTGCTCTGAGCATGAAGACAGCACAGCCTTCCTGTGCTTCCACCCATGCACATATGTATACACATGTGTGTATGAGAGCTCATAGACACACACATGGGCTATATGTATATGTGCTAAGTTGGTACACATGTGTACATGTGTGTGCTCTGTGGATGAACACGTGTGTGCTGTATGTGAATTTATGCAGTGTACGTGTGTACATGTGTACTGTATGTGAGCTGTGAGTTGTTGTTTTTTGTCTGCACACATGTGTGCTGTGTGTGTGTGCGCGCGCGTCCAGTTGAGGACATTTGTTCTGTCATCTCAAGTACTCAACTAGATTCTGAAGAGACTGGCTACTATGTATCCAGAAAATTTAAATTTAAATAATATTTGATAGAAATACTTTTAATTTGTCTTCCCTATCTTATTGCTGGGCAATAAAATGGCTTTTTTACCCTTGTAAATAATTTTGAAGCAAACACATAGACATTATTTTTTATTCTTAAATATTTCAGTATGTATCTTTAAAAGATAACTTTTTAAAAAACCAACATTATGTCCGGCCAGTGGTTGAATGTCAGGGCACATGCAATTGTGGGCTCAATTCCCAGTAGGATGCATGCAGGAGGCAGCCGAGCAATGATTCTCTCTCATCATTGATGTTTCTATCCCTCTCTCCTTTTCTCTTCCTCTCTCTGAAATCAATAAAAATATATTTTTTAAAAAGTTTGGACATTGGATAAATAGAATCATATATCATTATGAAGCAATATTAAATTATTTGTTTACCTAAAGTAACAATAAACAAGTATCAAATAAAATCAATGACAATATATTTTGAAAAATAAAAATAAATAAATGAAAACCAACGTCACACCATGCTTACCTTAAGAAAAAATAAAAAGTATTTCCTGCTGTCATCAGACATCTCCCTGTCATCCTACTTCAGGAGTGTGTTGTGCATTTGTAGTTCAGGAGCCCGTGAGGCCCGAGCGCTGGGCCCGGTGAAACACCTTAATGCATAGCTTGCCTCCGTCATCTTTTCTTTTTCCTTTGCAGTTTATTCATTGAAATCAGCATTTTGCAATTTGTATCTTTCTGACTTGTTTCCCCAGGGTGAGCAGTATGGTCTCTGTAGGTCAGTATATAGCTCTATGGCCCCATCAGACCCAGCTCTGCTTTGGAGAGACCAGTTCATTGGTGCTGCAGACACAGGCCGGGCTGAGGGACCCCCTTCCCTGAGTGCATGAATTTCATGCACCAGGCCTCTAGTTTATTAATAATTCACAATTAAAGTAACAGATATGTGTCTGCCCAGGCATCGAGTCCTTAAGCTTAGCCCTTTCCTTTTAGGGAAAAAAGTGTTCATCTTTACTGTGGGGTAATTTAAATATACATGTTTTGTCACTTTTTCCTCCCGGTCTAACTTAGTCATTTTTGTAATGACATAGAAATGCTGCTTTATAGCTGCTACTAGCAAGTGTGGCAGGTTCCTAATTGCTTCCAGAACACGTGGCTCTTGTCTGCTCCAGGCTTGTGAGCCCTTGATCTATAAAGGCTGACATGCCCACGCTCCTGAGAGTGGATGGGAGCATAGGCCTCAGGCTGGTGGGATCTGGAAGCTGTCCCCTCCCCCCATGACGTTATTGAGGCTGAGGAGGGAACCTGTGGCTTTGTGATGGGGGTGGAGGGGTTTTATCTGTTAATTCTGAAGATGGCTATGCAATATGAGAAGACCATGAATGATGGGAGAGGTCAGGATAAATGCACCCACAGCCCCTGAGAGCACATTTCTGTGTAGTTGGTCCTGACTGTGGTCAATAAGTTTTATTATTGAGCCTGTGCATTAGTGCTGGCAACAGTGGCCAAGTGAGTCAGGACTGGCCTCAGGGCTGAGGAAGTGGTAGCCAGTGCCTGGACAGGGCTGCTGCAGGAGGGGCAGGGCTTTCTACTGTCAGCTGTTCACTCTCCCTCCTGCAGGGAGAGCCTAGTTTCAAGAGATGATCTTTTAGAGGTTAATCTCATGTTTCCTTATTTAGAGAGGAGATCTCACTGTGTGATGAAACTCAAGCATATGGAGGAATGAGTTAAATTTCTGGGGAGAAAAAAAATGCACACGCATCCTCAATTCAGCTGTGGTTTCTGCTACAAATGCTGTTAGAGTCATGTGAAATGGGTCTTGGTGACTTAAACTGCAGTTGGTGCTGAGAGATGGTGCGCCTGACTTCCTGGGGCGGCAGCTCCTTGCGGTGGCCGTGGCTGCGTCACTGCAAGAGGACCCCTGTGGGGCTGGCGAGCGTGGTTTGGCTGGGACGGGCTTGGCAGAGTGCCCTGATTCCCGTCTAATGTGGGATGGGCCGACTTCCCCTGCCTCAGTCTGTCACTGCCACATGTTTGAGGCAGCATTTGGAGATGACAAAACCAAACCACATTTGGCTTCCGCTGAGGGCATCTCGGTTTCATGGCATTTTCTTTGTAACTTCTGAACCTATCAACTCCTCTGTCTTGTCCTGCGTTTGGTCTTTCTTCTTCCTGCCTCCCTCTTTCACCAGGAAAGAACCAGACGAGAAGCTGGCACGAGTCTGGTATTTTGGTTTATCAAGGGAGGTTTGGGGCAGGCTCCCACCCTGGTGGGTTGCAGGGAAGGCGCTGTGGGGAGCCCCAGGACTGAAGACAGCAATGCCAGGAGACTTGAGCTGATTCCCTTGTCATTTCCAATGAAGAGGGCCACAGTGAGTCTGGGCTAGGGGACCCTCCAGGGTAGATAGGCAGGGGTGACCTGCAAGGGGTGTGGCACAGACAATGGGACTTTCCTGCCAGGCAAGGAGTCAGAAGTGTGTCCTGTAAGCAGCTTGGAGTCACTGAGGATTTTTTGAGTGAGGAGTGGTGGGATGATTTCAGACTTGAATACCTCTTCAGGTTGTCTTCTTATCCTGTGCCTTGTGAACCTTCTCCAGACTGTTAATTTAATTTATTAATTGGGGGAGGAGGTGTGGTTATGATGCTGTGTGTGTGTTTTTATAATGGATTTGATACTAGTACAAATATTACCAGTGAGCTGGGCCACTTATTTCATATCTGTTACTTTAATTGTAAATTATTAGTAAACTAGAGGTCTGGTGCACGAAATTCGTGCAATCAGGGGCGGGGTCCCTCAGCCTGGCCTGTGCCCTCTCATAGTCTGGGAGCCCCTAGGGGATGTCCGACTGATGGCTTAGGCCCACTCCTGCCACCACCACTGTGCTCGCCAGCCATGATCCTGGCTTCTGGCTGAGCGGTGCTCCCCCTGTGGGAGCACACTGACCACCAGGGGGCAGCTCCTGCATTGAGTGTCTGCCCCCTGGTGCACATCATAGTGACCGGTCATTCTGCCGTTCAATCGATTTGCATATTACCCTTTTATTATATAGGATGTTCCTTACATTATATCCTATGTCATTTCTAAATGTTAAACTATTCTATTTAACTGAGAAAAAGCGCTTAGTAATTTCTGACATCCACACACCATTGACATTTTAATAAGAGGACGTGTGCCCTAGGATGAGCCCTGCATTAGGAATCAGGGACCTGGCCTGTTCCTGGCCTGTCCTGTTAGCCCATAGACCCAGGCAGGTTGCTCCTTCCCTGGTCTCAACCGCCACCACTGAAAGGCGAGTCTCTGGCTTCCAGTTCCCACTGTCTACTTCCAAAACTACCATGATGAAATGAAAGCTGAATTACAAAAGTGCCAAGCTTTTTAAATATCCATTCATGATTTTCCTGTCTGCAATTTTGGTTAACTAGGTCATTGGTAACAATGAGCACTGCTTTGAAGGACAGCAGACATGCAACCCCCCACCCCCCACCCCACCCCCTGCCTGCTGTGGTCCCTCTGAAATCCCCGAACAGCTGTCAGAGCTCTTGACACATTGAATTTGGTCACCTATCTAGCATAGACCCATGCTGTCTGTGGCACTGATTGTTTAGAGTGGGAGGGCCTGGCCAGGCATGTGGCTGTGTGTCCCTTGCAGTTGACAGAGGCTGTGCAGGTGTGATGGGCCTCCCTCACATAGAAGCCATGGCTAAACCTGGGCTACCTGGTCCAGATGCCTGTGCACATGAATCTGGGGATGCATCCTGTCCCTCCACCGCCCGAGGCACTATGGACAGGGAGGGACCTTCCAGATAAGGACCTCCAGAACTCCAGGCCGTACCAGCGTCCGGGTGAGCCTCTTCTAAAGTAGCTGCAGGGCTGCAGGGGTGGGATGTGGGGGCAGGATTAAAAGGATAACTTGTTCTTCCTGGAATTTTCCTGTCTTCTCAGTCTGTACTTAAATGATCCTCAAATCTTAAAATCAAGCGTTTGATTATTTTGTTATTGAGTGCCTGGCTTTGGATGGTTATATATATTTATTTTAGGAGGTCAATGCCTTATCCATTAGGCGACTGGGGCTTCTTATATTTATTTTATATACTAGAGGCCTGGTACACGAAAACCATGCACGGGGAGGGGTAGTGTCCATCAGCCCAGCCTGCACTCTCTCCAATCTGGGACATCCCTCTCACAATCCAGGACTGCTGGCTCCCAATTGCTTGCCTGCCTGCCTTCCTGACTGCCCATAACTGCCTCTGCCTGCCAACCTGATCACCCCCTAACCCAGTGGTCGGCATCTCATTAGTCAACAGAGCCAAATATCAACAGTACAATGATTGAAATTTCTTTTGAGAGCCAAATTTTTTAAACTTAAACTTCTTCTAATGCCAATTCTTCAAAATAGACTTGCCTGTGCCATGGTATTTTGTGGAAGAGCCACACTCAAGGGGCCAAAGAGCTGCATGTTGCTGGCAAACCGCAGATTGCCAACCATGGCCCTA